GGTTGCAAATTACTATGGATCATTCCGATCAGCGCATTTGAAAGTAGCGAATCTAGAACAAAATTAAACCTTGTAGTCACCCCCCAAATGCGTGCCCTATAGTACTTCAATGCTTTATCAATATGTGTCAGTATATGTTTACGTCCGTCACGCTGGACTTGGTTGTGTCGTCGAATTATAATCTTTCGCCTTTGTACTATTATAGTACCACCAATGAGAGAGACAATAGCAGAACTGCGACAGCCTCCAATAACTTTCAAAACTAAAGTCGATTTGATAACCATATTTCCGTAATAACTTGTTTTAACAAGTAAAACAATGCAAAAAACGTGTCTAGGTCGAATGTATGACAATAATTCAAAGTTTGTTATACGTTGGGTTGTCATCAACGCCTACGCACATACAATCAAGTAACGTACATCGGCGTACGCAAATCTCAGGTTCTCAACGTTTCGATATCGTCGTCCTCAACGAGGCCTTCATAGGAGTCCTGCTGTGGAGACAATAACACATGTTATGTCCATAAATAAACGTCGAACACATTCTAGAAGTCGGGCGCCCTCATTGCTTGTGCATAACGAAATGCGAACAATATGTATTCGTTGTTGAAGTCAGAGGGCGCCCTTCAAATATTGAAGGATATATTAGATATAAAGTTCACGACCTTTAAAAGATTGGATATTATAGAGGCACTAGGGAATGCTCATCTGTGTCCCGTTTATCTGGTTTATTTCCGTTTCTGTTTTTAGCACATGATATTAAAACACAAATCAAATTGTTTACTCACTGGTTGACAGTATTTTAACACTTACCACTAAAAATGGACTGCACGCGGGAGAGGGTGGGACCAATGCTACCATGGGAGTGGCTCTAGAGGATCCACTCCCGCTCTGTAAAATGAAATTATTAAAAAAAAAATGATTGTAAAAAGTAGCTACAAATTTATAAATATAATAATTACAAATATAATAATTATTATATATAGATCACTTGAGAGTAAGATAAAAGCAATAAACAGATATGTACATGCAGGAATAAACAAACAAAAAACACAAGATGACAAAAGTAACTGCACGATACAAAATGTACTTCTGGGAAATCCACAATCTAGTTCTATAAACACAGCATTATATGATTGCTTGGAACGAATACCTTTTGTCGTACAATTACTTTGACATCGTTTCGACTTACTCCATCGTTTTCGCTTTGACCGTCTATTTTCCCGCCTGCAGATGGAAAGTAAGACTAGTTAGAACGACATTAAGGTAAATGATTTATCTTAACCCTATGAACGACATATTTTTTCTGCCAAATTATTTTTTTTTTCAAATTATGTTTCTATAATTTGTCCTGTCTTTTTGAATGAACATATTTCTCTACTTAGCTACAGTTCTTGGTGATCTTTGTGAAAAAAACTGTTGTAATTGTTAACGTGTTGTAGTAACCGTAATTTGGGCATAATGGATATTTTTTGATATTTCTTCGATGCAAAATATCTTAGTCACCAACGAAGATTTGAAAGTCATAGAATAAAGGTTCCGTGTCCATATAACATATCATCATAAGCAAGATTTAATTTATACGGAATATTACTAATAACAATTCATTGTCAGTGACATAGTCATCGTCATCGTCATGTTTTAGTGACTTTGTTAAACAATGGAAAACATAGTTAGGTTATGTTTAAATATTGAGATAAGCATATTAACAGGTATGCAACAAGTATTAAGGATTAAGTTTGAATACCATTAGTCAAGGCATGTCCCAGAAACTGTTAGCGACATGTCCAAATGTTGATATTCGGGACAATTAATGGCTGTCAGTTGAAGGTCAACAAAATAAAACAAAGCGATATTCACATGTATCATGACTTGTTATGTACCAACTTTGAAACAAACAACAACATTTAACCCATTATATCTTGCCTTTGTACCAAATTTAACCCCAATCTGTAAAATCATTTCTGTAAAATACCAACTGGACACCAGTCGGCTAGTATTTTGAATCGAATCACAAAAATGATGTACATCAGTAACCCACTATGACTGAGGTCAATGCCAAGTTTGAATGATATCGGTCAAATCATGTCTGGGAAACAGTTGATGACATGTCCAAATGTTGATTTTTGGTGTTTTGTTGGGACAAAAACAGTGGGTCAAAGGTCAGCCAAATCAAAAGTAAATTTATGTACATGTATTTTGTCTTGTCATTATGATTTTGTACCAGCTTTCGCGGTGCTTGTTCTCGACGAAAATGGTCACGGAACCCTAGTCACATAGACAAACTGAAATATGGTCTCTGTGGTCAAAATGCACTGTATGCCCACACTGACACTTGCAAATTGCTTGCTCATAAAATAAATAACAGTGACATTCGATGTCTTGAAACGTAACCTGGCACAACAATGATAATAATAATAATAAACGTCATGTGCCATCAATAAACCGACCTTCAATCTGAACAATCTGTATCTGCTGCACAACACTGACGTCAGAGTTGTTAATTTCAATTAAACCCGGTGATTGGCTTTCAGCAGGTTGAGTTTTTGAATTGCTTTTGTTCTGAAATAAAAAAAAAACACATACAATAACGATGTAAGGTAAATATTACATCATTGATTTTTTCCCGATTGCTGGCAGAAATAAATAATTGTTGTCACTGTTCGCCAGCATCAAGGATATTGATTTTCCAACGCGTTTCGACACAAGATAAAATATTAGAAAATATATTATAGCAATTCCATTGGTGTTTACTAGACCCAGAGTTCATTTCCGATTTTAACAACTTGAACACCCTTAGTATGGATAATTGTTTCCCTTGCGATAACCGATATATTGTATTTGGTACATTGTTCTTTTTTTATAAACACAGCGTGAGATGAAGCAGATTTGAAAAAAATCGAAATCACTACGCACCCATGTTGACCACCCCTTCGTCGTAGCACTCATCTCACCCCTAGCGAAAGCGTGTTTTTCTCTCGTCCTTCGTAAAGCCGCGCGTACCTGTAAATTTTAAAAAAAATGCAATAATGGAGGTAACATATCACAACTAAAAAAATGCAAGTTTCAATGCAGTAATAATAATAATAATACACCAGTATAAATGCATACATCCAACACCCATACAGTACAACCAGTTCAAATCCAGGACATAAAAAAACACAGGCAGACGAACTCACTTCCAAGGGCACAGTAATTGAAATATGTCATACTGTTGTATGATACTGCATGTTGATGAGTGTAACGATCAATAGTCATCATCTTACATTGTTTTTCCCCCACAGAATTCAACATATTAATATTTACTTATTACGCATGTGTGCGATTTGTTATTGTGTGAACTAAATCACCAGTGCGCATGCGTACTGTTTCACACGGAACGATTACTAATTATTTGACTTTAGCAGTGCGGTTTTATTTCATGTCGTTGTGCACACGGCCCAAATACAAAAATATATGGTCAACGAACTATTTCTTGCACAGAACATCGATCCACCATCCACAAAAATTTCTATTTTAAAGTTATTGTTTCCATGGTAAACACTTTCAATCATATCTTATGATAGTTGAGGAATTTGAGAAATTACGAGGGAACTCTCAATAAATAGTAATTATTATACATCTGTCACCGTAACGCCATAAGTTACAGCGTGCCATAATTTTGCGCTATTTTACGGGGTATTTTCATCCTACCATATAAGGAAATACGAATTCCAAATATGGAATGATAACGCGCGTAAGCGTCCTCTAAAAACAAGCATGGCTGCCACCAGGGTTTGGCCGGACTACACACAAAGAAGATCGCTGATTCTGTTCTAAACATTTTTGATTACGGCATTTCCATGATGTATCCTTGGAAGGAAAGGAAGTATAATAATAAGGTTATTACGAGAATGTCGCAAAGTATTAACTAAGACAGTACGCGGTCGTATCGACCGATGCGCACTCCCGCTGTACTGACATCGTGCTCACTTTGCGGTACACTCGTAACCCCGTGATAACATCATATTATTTGTTTGTAGAATAATGCTTTGAGAAATGGATTTATATGAATGTAGTTGTTCTAAAAATGCATATTTTTCTTCATTCGTACATTTTTGTCCCAAAAATATGTGACAGTTTTAGAACAAATAATTGTGTTAAAATTGTCGCCACCGTGACTACTTATAGAATTTAATGCGCGCCAACGACCTTAGTTGGTAATTTCTTGTTCTTAGCTATATTGCCTTTTTAACTATGAATGAATGAATGAATGAATGAATGAATGAATGAATGAATGAATGAATGAATGAATGAATGAATGAATGAATGAACGAATGAATGAACGAATGAATGAACAGAATACAACATACCTCAGTGCTAAGCACGCCGTGGAGAAGGAAGATGAAAAATCCCTGGAAACAAACATTAAAAACAAAATAGAAATCAGCAGACTTTTAATCACATCCTGCTAATAATAACCAATCCCACATTTCGCAAGGGAAACAAAATTTCAAGTTTTATTTTTTTTCAACTGAATCTTTTATGAATATATGTGCCAACAAAGTATTGCGCTTACATTAAAACCAACTAACCTGTAACGAATTGAATATGGCGAATAAATATTGAAATACAATAAGACCCTTGTTTACGGACATCAATCCAAACGCCCACGATAGTCCGAGTAGTGGTAAGAGTATGAGGGCGCCCTTTGCCGCTGCCCTATAAATTGAGTGGAAAAGAATTTAAAAAACAACAACTTTGAAATCGTTTTTAAGGATTAAATGTAGCATATTTCAACTTTGCACTGAATACTATGAAGATGTAATTAAATGTGAAAAAAAAAATAATCAAAAAAGGTCAGTATCTAAACAGCAAAGAAATTACTTGTGATATCCCCTATACCATAACGATATTTATTATTGGTGACGAATAAAAAAATTGGTGGTACTAGATGGTTCACAACCACGGTTCTAATGTGCAGATACTACTTTGCGAGACTGTTGATTTGAGTGTGACGGAACGTACATATGCTAGTTGTTCATTCTTCGAGTGAAATGCCCAGTTTGTCGGTTAGGTTAGGCGACTTCCCCGACACTGTCATACTTACTTGATATGATCGTACTTGCCGTCTTTATCCTTCCCCTTCGACTTAATTACGATCTTCAACACGACTAGTAACACAACCAGATTGCTCTGAAAACATTAAATTGTACTTATTAAAATTGATTGAACGAATGTTGATACACTCACCGATTCAAAACTCAAAATAAAATTGTACATGTACACATATGTCTACGTGCCCTGTAGCACGGACGAGTAACGTACAGATGATATATGTAAATGTATATGTATATGTATACGTATACTCACAAAAATGACGAATATAGCCGGTCCAACGAAAGCCCAAATGAGACCAGTTTTAACACTTAGCCAACAGCTGCGCGTTGTGGAATAAAATAAAAACTATAGTTATTTGTTTGAAAGATGTATATAAAATTGCTATACACTCGTGTGTTCCACCGAGATAAAAATGTATTTTCAGTGTGTTTTGAAATGTTTCTTTTAATACGCACTTACTGTCCCATGGTGGCGCCATAACCGTCAAGAGCTACAGCAAGAGAAACTGCTACTATAACACCAGGTACACCTTGAAATGAAAGAAATAAAAACAAACGTGCCAATATACAATTATTGATCGGTAGCAACGTGTTTTTTATGCAAACAAAAAAGTCCGATAATAGACAACACGATGTAGGAACTCACCCCAACCAATGATGTAATACAGCGCGACTCTGTTTCTCTCTGATGCGAACACAACGACTATCTGCAAGTAAAGATGAAGTCCCTCCACGAACATCCAGGTGAAGACGCTCAGATAGAGAAAATGCAGAACGATAGAGATGATCTTGCACAACACCTTAGGAAGCAAGAGTGTGAGATATTTATATGCATATTAAAATCGTGCACAAACATGCACAACATCGCGTTCTTCAAGTTGTTGCTATAATGACAACAACAAAAAAAGAATTTTGAAAAAAGAATTTAATAAAGAATGGTATATTTACAGGATACGTTGTCTGCCACACACCGCCTAAGAACAGCACCTGGGCAAGAATTAGAGCAATTACTAGGTTCTTATGGATGGTTGTTCTCGTCGAATCCAGGGACCTGTCATCAAGAACACACACAAATAAGCGATGTGAACGAAATTATTTGTATCTTCTATTGGTATTTTAAGGTAGAGATGCAGGTTCGTGGGCACTTGGGAGTGAATTTTTTTTCTTAGCTTTTTATTATTCAAACAGTCTTGGCTATACACTGTTAAAATTTTGTGGAATTGTGAATAGTGAAACATACTCAAAAAACGATTTTAAAATATAGATGACAGGTGCAAACATTCTTTCTTTTGAATGCTTAGCAAGATTTAGCAAGGCTGTATATAAATAATAAAAAAGAAACATGGTGAAAAAAAGAAATGACGGGATCTCCATATTATATGCACTATATTTAACTTTTAACAAAACGATAATACATTTAAATTTGGAACTGTTACAGCCATTTTAATTTGTGCATTAGCAAACTTCTTACTGAGTGAATTGTTATGCAAATTAGCAATTATCTCAGTTTCTTTTAATGCACATCCCAGAACTTTAAAAAAATAGCTCCTAGACGCTTTGATCTTTTGTTTTGAAATTTTCACAAATGATTGACAATGTTTTTATCTTCAAAACGCCGTCGGGGCATTGTTTTTGATTGAACAGTGTTACAACAATCGTACAGACAACTAGCATGGGTGTTAATTTATGCATAAACTTGAAGTAGTGAAATTTGAGCTGCTACCCTCCAAAATTGACAACTGGTAGACAGTTTTCAAAACTGCACTCCATTCATAGTAAACAGATGTCCCCATAAACCAAATTTGACAGAAAACAGAAGCATGAATTAGGAGGTATTTTTTTTAAATCACTTTCGACCAAAAAAAGCACATTTTTGTGCATATTTCAAACTACAGTGACCATAAAAAACAAAATTTAAAAATGCATACAATAAGCTTTCCGAAAATATATAGTTTTGTGGACAAGGGAGGTCATCTTGGTTTCCTAATTAACTAATTAAAATAGTTGTCAGGTAAACTGCATGCGTCTTTGACGGAGGCATGTTCAAATGTGCGTGTATTGCGGGTTGGGCGGGGCACTCAATTTAATTCATTTGGCAATAGTATTATTATCGATTATGAGAGAAACACCCTGATTGAATATACAGACGTGATACTCGGTGAGGATACAAATTTACCACATCCCGAGATGGGTAAACAAATAAACGCATAAACCGCTTTATGGCGTCATTATATAATTTATTCTATAGTATAATTGATATGAGAAAACAGGTGATATTCGTTGCTAAGTAACGCACTCATCACTCATTCTAGTGTTACCGATCAAAAAGCATGTTTACCCTAGACAGCAGTACAACGTAAGGGATGATACCAGACACATGATGGAAATACTACAGCCGACCACGGTGATAGTATCCAGAATACGCTGATGTATAAACGGTATCTGCATAAAAAATAACACGTTTCATTGATGTACTTTTCAAGTAAACACGTGTTCTAAACAGACTCTCACTTTAATACTCAAGTAAGTAACAATATATGTGCATAGATATACCAATAGCATTAGTGAATGTATCTCCCCGCTTGGCGGCGCTCGTTAGTTACGAAAATGAGTTACTGCCTCGTTACCTCGACTTCAGTCACTTGCATCAAAACGGCAAAATTTGTTGTGTGATTACAGTGGCATTTGGTGTAGCTTGCAGCAGTTTCTATGGCAAAACATCCATAAGTAGACCATCCT